TCTCTTGGCAATGCTAGTTGTGGATTTTAAAATACTCTTAATTATGGAACAAAACCCCCCTAAAATAGAACAGAACAGCATAGCCAAGAAGACTTTTTGCAGTCCATTCTCTTTAGTGTACTTAATTGCTCTAGGCAGTGCTATCAAAAGGAAGTGATGCTACTTCTAGATGACCTCAGTGACAGGAAAAAATGACTGAATTTGTATTGAAGATATTTATGAGGTAATGTGTGGGGTCTTGTGCTTCTACCGATTGATATATGACCTTTGCAGCGTAAAGGACCTAAAACAATCCTTCTACAATTGTACAGGATTTGTAATGAAAAACAAAGGCTTCTGTCCATCACTTTTACTGGCCTGTGTATTTCGTAAGGTCACTTATGTTGCAAGAGTAAATAGAGCAACTGTACATCAGACGTGTCGAGCATGGGCTCTAGTTTTCAGAACCAGAATTTGGGATTTCTGAAGGAGAGAGCTTTTCTCAAGTGGCCATAGGAGATCCCTTGACTTGCCTTTCTACAAGCCACCAGATGGCAACATCTGTTGGATGCAGACTGAAAATACTCTGGGAGATTCACAGCATTCGCTGTCTGGCTTTCCTGTCCTGTTTAGACCTCCATATGAGATCTCTTTATACAGACCCACCAGGATAACTCAGAGGACGCAGTTAGCACAGGAGTCACCAACCAGGCAAACCTAAACATGTGCTTCCAGCAGTGCTTTAAATAGCTGCCCAGGCTGGGGGGCCATTGTCTGATATCTCAAATGTTAATTCTGAAAATAGGTGGCTTGGACAGGATTTCCACTTTCAGAGGAGTAGGAAATGAAATCATGTTTTGGTAAAAGCTCTGCTTCAGAGCAACGATGTTTTGTCTCCATGTGTGCCTTGTTTGATGATAAAAAGTCTGTTCAGAGTCCTGCTGCCACCCTTTTAAACACACCCCAGGTCAGTAAAATGGATACTACTTGGATGGCCAAGCCTAAGACCATACATTAACTTGTCTATAAAGTCCTTGCAGCTGAGCATCTCCACCTTTTGCAGTGTTATTTTGCAAATGTTGTTGTGTAGAAGAGGCAGTGCTATCATACCAGTGCATCTCATCTCATCAGGGTTGAGTACAGAGAGGCCAGAGCTTCGTGTTCCTTGTTTTTTGTTGTTGTGTATTGCCCAAAGCAAGTTCCAGTAAGTGGCCTAGTAAGGAATTCGGTAATTGAAGACTTGTTGTCTTGCTTTAAACAATTTTTAAAGCGTGGGTTTGTGAAACTGGGGAATTCACTTTATCGTGGCAGAAGCAACTGCTGCACCCATCTCTGTGCAGACTGGAAAGTTTTATAATTTCTGTATTTTTCCTGCAATATGTTGGCAGATCCTAGAACAGCTCCTAAGTATTGAGTTGCTTCTAAATCTGAAATAATTGAGGACCAGGAGAAATGAGGTAAAATTCAATACAAGAAGAATGAAGGGGTGGATTATTTGACTTTTGTAACAGTTAAGCTAGCATAGAAATGATGGAATTTCATACTGTGGCAAAAAAAAAAATGTACGAAGAAGAGAGCAGTGTGGATGCCAGCAAACAGCCTGAGACGTTAGCAAACAGCAATGGTAGAAACACTGTTACGTTTGTTGGAGAAGTTAAATTCAAGTTGGAATATTGCTGGATGGTAATAGTGTGGCAGTGTTCAGAATGTTACCATTTGCTTTGGATTGCTTGTTTGGCCAGATGTCCCGATTTCTGGAGGAGAGTGAAGGCAATCCGCAGAGATGTAACGCAGCATCGCAAACCCATTTGAGCTCTAAAAGGCCTAGATTTCTCCTGCCCTCTGTGGGTGCAGCCATGTGTGTAATTTATTCGGTCCCCCATGTTTTGAACCTTCTGAAATACAAACGTTACAGGTAGGCTATAAGTAAGCTGATGGTTCCTCCTGATGCACCCGGGTTTTTTACGTTTTTAGTAAGTCTGCAGAGCTTTGTTCTGCTTCAGGGAGGTGCACAGCAGTTAATGGCCATGTGCTGTGGTGCTCGTGGTTCTGTACAAGCTGTTTGTAGGCTGGGTGATGGATGCTGCACACCAGCACCATGCACAGGTCCATCCTTCATCCTGCTAAGGGTAAACTCCATTGTCTGCCTGCTGGAGCAGAAAGGAGACCATTCAGAGCAATAGCATCTGTTCCAACCTTGCCCTGAGTTCTTTGTGATCCTGGGCAAGTTCCTTAACCTCATGCAAACAGCTTTGGGCTCGCTCTGTGGATGATAACCATTTATCTCCCAAGGGTGCCAGAAAGCTGAGCGCACTTTTCCTAACACTGCTTAATGTGCTCTGGGAAAAGGGCTGCTGAAGTTCAACTGTTATCCCAGGGTAGGAAGCAGGTCTTTGATGTGGAGAGCAGCCTTGCTGCACTGGCTGTTCCTGCAGAAGGTCCTGTGTGTGCTCGGATGTTTGAGCTCTTTGCTGGTGACGTCCCTGTGGCTCTTTCAAAGCAGGGGGCAGAGACCTCTTGAGCAATCTTTTACTATTTGCCACGCTTGTTACTTAATTGCTCCTCCTGTGTTTGAACTCTTTGCCAAAGTCAGAACCTGTCCCAGACTCTTAACCCCCAGTTTGACATCTCATCAGATGTAGGGAAGGAGAACATTAAAGCCTTGTGAGGGGTTGCCCTTTGGAATAACATTCCCAAGGGTTTAGCAGGATGCTTGTTTGATCCTGTCAGATGTCCATGGATTGGCGGCTCAGGCACCTCTTTTTCAAGGCTGCATTAGATGCTAGTGGGGCTTTCAGGAGAACCATGTCTGGCTGAGATTCAGGACTTGATCTGGTGGTCACCTCTGCTTGTGTTGCATCTGTGCTTCTGTGGCTTTACTTAAATGCACTGCAAGGCTGGAGTCCCACACGTGTTCAGTGCAAGCGGATCACAGCTCGTCTAGTCCGATGTGCTGGTTGAAGGCAACTACGTTGCTCTACTGAAGTTTGTGTTGTTGTCATAATGGAGCAGCTTTCTTCTTGAAGAAGTGACTGAAGTGACTGTCCTGCAGTGTTTCTCTGACTGCGAGCAGGCTGTGCTTGTCTGCAGCTTCACTCCTGAAACTCAGCTGCCTTTCTGGCAGAGTAGCTGTTTTCTAGGTTGCTTTGCAGATGGGATTCTTATGGGAATAGAGAGAAAATAGCTTAAAAAAAAAGTAAAAATCAAAGGTTTAGCTTTTCTCATGTGATTAAGCAATCTTTCAATCTTATTAAAAAAAAAAAAAGCCACCAAAAAACAAAAAAAAACAGCTTTGCATTTTAGTAAACTTCCACTTCTTTGCATGGGGAAGAGCCAAGTTCAGAGTTCTCGAGTCAGCTTTCGCAGGATGGCTCTGCACACTGTGTGCGGCTCAGGGCTTTGGTAGAGGTTTTAAAAAATGTTAGTATGTCTTCTTAGCTCCTTGTTCTGATATCTTTAGAAGGAGCAAAGCAATAAGTTATATGGGGAAGGTTGTAAAGGTCTACACTGAAGAGGAGTTCCCCCGAAATTGTGCCTTCTCCTTTGGATATTTGAGGCTGCCTCAGTGAGGATGGAGGTAATTTGTGATGTACTTCCTCAGGGCCGCTGCCAGTCCCATCAGATGGTGATGAATTAAACTCTGAATGCACGTGTGATTTTTCCAAGTCCTTGCTGCTTTAGAAAGAGCATCTTGTGCTTTCCTCCAAGTTAGACTTCTCCATAGCTTCCAAAGAGCCCCCAAAGGTCTTCCCGCCCTTATTCTTTGTTGTAATGTCAGTGTTAGTGTGTCTGTTCCTTCAGCTTTCACATCATTTTCCTTTGATATGTTTCCAGCTGCGCTTGCTCTCCTTAGGAAGTCACACAGCCTCATCTCTGACAATTTTGGTGTTACCCACAGTGTCCGAATAGCAGTTTTGACCTCTCAATTAACTTCAGGATTGCCTCTTTCAGCAGACAAACCTGTACAGCTGCCAAAAGCCTCAGAACAGATCTGGAAGGTTGGCTGAATGGCCGCAGGGATTAGGGACGTATTTTCCTTTTGTGAGCGAAATCAACAGCAAAGAGCCTCGACACAAGAAGGAAACTTTCCCACTGACCACAAATAGGGGCTTAAAGAGAATTTTCGAGCCTTTAAAAATAAATCGTCATTTTGTATTTAATTAAGTAGGGTTCCATGAATGTGGTTAGATGCTGAGGTCATGTGCAAAAAGAAGCTTTTCCAGTAATTAGTGCAGGGTCCGTGCTGTTCTGGCAAAAACAGCACTGACGTCAGGCTGACACTGGAACAAGGAGCTGTGCTGCACAGTGAACTTGAAACACGAACCTTATTATTGAAGGGGCATGTCTGACAACTGCCAGCACTGGCTGCTTTGGGCCCTAATTAAATAAATGTATCAAAGTTCTACCATTTTTATTTGGTAAATATGGACAGAAGCCATTTTGGGTTTTTATTTAGCAGAAGCTTAGTTTTGTGTTTCAGGCTGTGCTCTACCAGCTCTTGCTGCTTTGTAGGTCTGTGTGTTAGGTGATGTTGCGGTGGTTGCTGTGTAAGCCAAGTGCTGTGCCAGCTTTTGGAGCAGGAACTTTTCCTCTCTCAGGTTCTACTTTCTGGTGAGTTCCCGAGTGGAGATGGTAAGAAAAAGTTTGTCTGACCCTATAATCTGGCTGATTGGGTCGTAACTCCCATGGGTGCATTAGCAAAATCGTTACCAAGTGCTCTTGAATTTACTTGTAGCTGATCCAAAATAGGCTGGTCAGAGTAGAGCTGCTTAGATATTTCTGGCTCTATATTGTACCAAACAGAAGGATTACACATCTTTAAAAATCTACAAAAAATACTTTTTTTCTCTTCAAACACACTGAGGTCCCAAGATAGCTTTTAATTTAGAGTTGTGACTCTTGATAACTTGTATTTGTCTGATTTAATATAAGGAATGTGTATGTCAAAAATGCTGCTCAGTTGTGGCTTTCTTCAGCACTCGACTGTTCTCTTCTACAATTTCCCTTGGTTTTCTTTGCAGGCCATGACTGCTGTGAGACAGTGAAGGTGGCACTTTGTGCCTCTAAGGAAGGTCGCCCTGTTCTGGTGGTGGCAGAAGAGAGCTTCAAGTTCATCCAGGATGAAGCCTACGATGCAGCCCAGTTTCTGGCTACCTACGCAGGGAACCAGCAGGCACTAAACTTCACCCGTTTCTTGGACCAGTCGAGACCACCTGCTGCTGATGTGGACATTTTGGATGAGAAAGTGGCTTTGGCATTTCGACACCTGAAATTGCCTGCAGAATGGAACGTGCTGGGAACGGATCAGTCCCTCAACGGTGAGAAGCATGGGGATGTGTGTGAGGTGTGGGTGGGGAGAGGGGTTAAAAGCCTTCTGCTCTGGGAGCCATCCGCTTGTCTTTCAAAATGTTCATTGGTCTTAGTGCACAGAAATGGGACAGGCTGTATACCAACGTGTCATACTGTGTCTGTGTCCTACACTTTGCATTTCAGCCACTTTGAAATACAGGTCACCCATGTTTTCTTTATCTTCTGTTATAAAATAGGACGCAGTGTGGTAAGTGGTCAGTGTTGCAACACGTGCAGATAGGGGTTTTTTGTCTGTGCAGTGTTATGCATGCATCAGTATCACATTTCTTTGATTTCCTGAAAAAGATGGGTCTGTGGAGGAAGCCTGATGCTTTGGCCTTGTGCCACAGCCTTGGTGTGTTTGCTAAACACTGGTTTTATAGCACAGGTGCAAAGGAACTGTAATGTGCGTAAAACGCATTTGATTTCTCTTGGAGAAGCTGGCAGGCTGCCTAAGGGCAGCATGTTTGATGCCAAAGCACCCCGAGGATTAGTCCAGCATCCCTGCCTGTACAGCTGTCTGTGAACACAGACCCTCCCTAAAATGAGCCCAGATAATTTTGCAAATAAAACAGAATAAAAGTGGGAAAGCCTGGCTAACACGAGCCCTTAACCATAGCAGAGAGTGCTACTGAGAGCTTATAAATAGAGGTTAGTGCTGGCCCAAAACCTCTAGTAAAAGCAGCAGAGCCAACACGTTCAAGATGCTGTGACATGGCTGTAGCCTTGGAGTTCTGTCATAGGGAAGTTTTAAGGAAGCATACTGGTGCACTCTGGGGCTAATTCCAGTGTTGCCATAAATTTCTAAGGTATTCTGGCAAATAGTTTCACATGAGGAATGTGGCTGTGAGGCATTCCCTATCTGTTATGGGATATACCAGCCTAAACACTGCAACGGGAATGAGTTGTTCAGCACAGCGGCTGCAGTTCTGCTTGCCCTGATGGGGTTTTCTGCAGGATTTTTCCTGCTTTAATTGTCACTGCCTCAGTGACTGCTTTTGTAAACATGAATGCACGGGCAGGCAGTCAAAGCAGCATTAGCAGAGGTTCAGTGATGTGATCGTATTTAGTGGTTTCTGGATAGAAATTCAGATGCTGTTGTCTGTTTACTGGGAGATAAACACTTGGTATCTTTTCCCTCTCCATGGAAGGCACTGATGTTTCTTTTTGCATTTTAGAAAGCTGTGATAATGCAGGAATTTCTGCTTTACTGAAGTGGTAAAAATACTGTAATTGGCACAGTGCTCTTTATTAATGAAAATTTCAATTGAAGCACTGGATTGTTACTGATTTTGCAGGAAGGCTCAGATCTAGTTTCTTTTTTTTTTTTTTTTTTTTTTTTTTTTTTTTTTTCTTTTTGTCTTCGGTTCCTCTTTGGAAAAATCAGAAGTTAGGGAAGGGATTTGCTTATGGATTTGCCATACGATTTGCTCGGCATACACTTCTGTGCTTGAAAATCACTGTGGTATAGGCTGTGGCATTCAGCAGCAGTAAATGCAACCTTCATCTAAGAGTGCTGGTCTAATAAAATGTTCTCTCGCAGTAAGTTTTTTCACATGTAACTGAATAAGGGCAATCTGTTGATGGCTTGGTCTGTTTTTCATCTCCTGGTTGGCTTTTGGTCTGGAGGCAGATATATCTGGTAGTTCTTTTTCAGTAAGCTGATTATACACAGGGACTTTAGGGGAATTTTTGTGATTGTGACAAGAAAGATTTGTATATATAAGCATCCTTCTGGTCACGTAACTCTGTTTTGGGAGAACAAGGTTGGAGAGATGTCTCTGATTCATGATGGAGAGCTACATTAGGAAAACAGCCCCTCTGTAGTGGTGGTGCTTGTGCATTAATCTGGGTTGGGAAAGTGGGAAAATCATTGCACAGATTGAAACTGGGGGAGCATGAGAGCAATTATGCACATGTTCTGGTCAGTGCCCCTCTAGTGGGACCGCCCAGCCTTCATTGCATCACTACCTATGAACAGTTATCTCAGTTCATATTTCCCGTTTCGCTAAATGTCACTGCCATATACTTCAAATAACCTTCTTGAAGGAGAAAATGCTATAGAAATGAGAACAAAAGAAAATGTCAGATCCTTTCTTGAAAGACTTTCACGCTGCTTCTAAGCTGACATTTCTCTTTGGGCTCTTGTGAGTTGGAAACAAAACGCTGCTGTTTAGCAAAACCTCTGAAAGTCAGAGCGAGCGGAGAGCCTCAGCCAGCAATCTGGGCACAGAAGTGCTGTTATGAGGTGGGCATTGCTGTGAAGCATGTTTGAAAGAAGATATGACTAAGGGCTCCAGTCTAGAGATAGGCGTGAAGTGGCTGCGGTTCTGCAGCAAGAGCTTGGATGGTGGCTCCAGGGTGCAGGCTTGTGAGGGGGGGCTGGCTCTGCACAGGCCTCTCCTTTCCTTTGCCCATTCCCAACTCTTCCTGCAGAAGACAAGGAGTTAATTGCTGTCACGCTCCAAAGGACAGGGAAGATGCTGCCATAACACTGAGTAAGTAAAAGTGCAGCATTGTTGTGGTCCAAAGCTATGTAAGAACTATGTGCTTGCTTATGTTTTGGTTGCCAAACCAGGGTCTTCATTCTTCAAGAGTTTGCCATTGCTCTAGATTAAAGGCGTGGTGCATTTATACATCCAAATTGTTAAGAATGCATTGCTTCAGCTGTGGGCTAGAAATACCTCTAACATTATTTAAAACAGCCAGAGGACATTTGTAAGCATTCCAGTGAAACACCTTTCTTTTTTTTTTCCCCATAACCTATTTAAGCTAGCTGTTGCAATTCAGCAAGAGAAGTTTCCTCAGGTTCAGTAATCCCAGTAGTATTTCACACTATACTTTCTTTGCATTTCTGTCTTTTTATCTCTTTAGACATCATTTTCATTTGAACAAATTGAAAATAAACTCAGTGTGTATTCCTGTATAGATCATCAGTGTATTTCCAATCCCAGTATGTTTGTGTACAGTATTCTCATCTGCTGGTCCAGAAGGCAAAAACTTCTTAGTGCTTAAAAAGAAACTGTCCCAAAATAAAATGCATTGAGCAGGATTGATTAATCTGATCCATATGGTAATATTATTGCAGCTGTTTGGTTAACATTGCTCAAAACCAGTATTTATTAATTGATTTTACTCTGGTACAGCAAAAAAGTCTGAAATAATCTGTGATCACAGGCTTTAGTTCTTCACCTAAACCCTGTTGAAAAAAGTGGATTCATTTGGATCTCATCAAGCTCTGTTTGAGCCTGCTGTGCCAAATTTAGCATCAAACTCTCTTTTTGTACGACTTGGGCTTTGATGAGAAGCTTTGTGTTCAGCAGCCAATGGTGTGGAGTGTGGTACCCAGCCTGGGCCTGCCAGCATCTGTAATGCTTGTGTGATGGGGGGCAGTGGCTGCACATGGGGAGCCCCTGGCAAGAAAAGCTAGTTCAGAAAACAGAATCTTCTTCTCTGAAACTGTTGGTCAGTGGTCTCACCTCAGAGTTCTTGTTTGCTTTTACATGGAAAGGTGAAATTCTTTACTCCTGTTTCTTTGCCCTTCTGGTGCGATCATCGAAGCATTTGAGTCTGAAGGGACTCTTAGAGGTCGTCTGGTCCCACTCCCTGCAGTGAACAGGGACACCTACAGCTGATCATGACTAGGCTTTAATTAGTTTCTGAGTAACAGCTTCTTTATGGATAACTTTCCCCAATAAAATACATATATGTATAAAGCCTGTTCTCAAGCTTTCCTCACATCAGCTGCTGTCAGGGAGGTACTCAGATTCAGGGCATTTTCAGCAGCACTCTGTTCCCGTGCAGAGTGAGCTGACCCAAATTGCCTTCCCAGTCTCTACCACTTATTTTCCTCCTTCTCCGTGAACCCACCTGCTTGATTGAGGTACAGCCTCCTATTTGCTATTTGAAGAAGCCTCCAGAGAAGCCTTTAATCCATATTTTAGAGAAAAAGGCTCCAGGATGTCTTGCAGTAACTTTTCAGTAGATACCTGTTTATCCACACACAAAAAATGTTTCACAGGGAATATGAAGCTGTTGTGCCAGTTATGCAGGTCAGGTCATGGAACTTTGGGTGAGGGGGTACCACATCCCACCTGGTGCTTCATCTTGGTTGGAAAAGACCTTCAGGATCATCAAGTCCACCACGCACAGTGCTGTGCAGAAGCATGTGCTTGTGTTGCAGGGCTTTGCATGGACACGTGCAGGTTGAAGGCTTTGCATTCCAAGTCCAGAGTTCATCTAAACCACCTTGGGCATAGATGTCTCAGCCCTCTCCATGCATGCTGCTGCTGTCCCAGGGCAGCTGGGTGAGCTGTGCTGTGCTCTTACCTGCCGTGTTCTGTCCTTCCTGGGCTTTGCCCTTAATTATCAACTCATGTGAATGAACTCAGATGGCATCCCAAGTTTATTTCAGACTATCTGTAATTAAGGATGACTTTTGTTACCATGGTGTTGCAAACACAGCATTACTTTCAGGTGCTGTGTTATCATGTCTGTCTTAATTACTGCAAGTGCACTGTAACTTTCTAAAGAACGTAGTTGTTAGTGCTGTTAAGCGTAGGGTTATTTACTGTTCCCTGTGACATTCAGAGGGCTGTTGTTGAAATTGAACAGATGGGTTATACTTTATATCTAGAAATCAAAATTTAATATGTATTCTGAGGATTTATGCAACATAAATGCAGGACTGTAATTTTCTATTTTAAATGATTAAGCAGAAAATAAACTAACTAGAAAACCAGAGCAGAATATTTGGAGGTATGAGTAATAATTATGGCTTGTTTGTGCTGCAGTAGGGAGAAAAAGATGACAAAAAAAATAAGGGAGTACCTAAGGTATGGAAAGCTTAGAGAACTTAATCCTTGAGTTATCTATCAGTAGTGAACAGACAGCTTTCAAAACTTCTTTTGGGAAACAGTCTGTTCAGTTTGCTCATCAAAATAAGTGGTGAAATCCAGACTGGTTCCGGTTTTGGTGGTGTGAGCTTTTCAGGTTGGTGCTTTCAGAGTGCAGTGATGATCAGCCATGAGAGCAAGTGATTCCCCATGAGAACATTGGGAAAATCTGTCCCTTTGATGAGCTGCAAGATAGCATCGACTGCAGGCGGATAACCAGAATGCCATCTTAGCAGATAAAACACTTAGCAGCTCCCAGGCCTTAGGAATGCAGTTACTGACGTCTTGAAGACGTCTTGAATATGTGCAGCTTCCCAGAAGCACTGAATAGCAAACATCCATATGCAATAATGCTTCTTGAGAAATAAAGCTCTGTGAGCTCAGTGGGGAGGAGGTGGTGGGGAAGAAGTTGCCTTGGCCCAGTCTGAAATAGTTGGGAGTTGCGTTTAATAACGGTGTGTGGAACCCAGAAGGATTGCAGTGTTCAATGCAGTGGACCACATCAGTAGAGATCAGAAAGATCTCAAGAGGATACTGAAAACAGAAACAGAATGTCTGAAGAGAGCAGTAGCAGCAACAAAAAAGCCTTACTAGGAAAAAAAAACAACAAACTTTCAGGACTGACTACAATGAAATTAGGAGCTACCTTTTTTTCTTCACTGGAGCACGTTAAAGGGAGGTGGCTGATGGTATTTTCCAGACATAAAGCTTTAATCTGTTCATCTCCTGCACTCCGTTTATAGTTTCTACTTAAATGCTTTCAGGATAATAGTTACCAGTTTTCTTTTTCCCTGAGTCTGGTGTTCTTTCCTATCTGCTTCTCACCTTTCTCTCTGCCCTCTGATAAAGGCTTGTACAGTATAAATGGGCATGATCTTCTCTGAGCAAGCAGCACAAAGTAGTCTGTTCAGCTACAGTACTTGATAAGATGAAAAAAAATATTTTCCTTCCCTGAATTTAATGCACTCTGCATTGCAAAATAGGAAGCAGAAAATGTTCAGCCGGTGTCTGTGGCTGAGAAACCGTTGGCATTAAGGTGCTTCTGTTCCCTTAGGTGTTAATGGGAGTAGGGACACGAAGATCCTTTAGTGTGCTTTGAAAAAGTCTTGTTTATAAGATTTAAAAAGAATTACCCACATTTTTTATTAACTGAACTCATAACTCCAACTTCTGTGTCTCCACCTTGCCCTTCCTTTAGTACCATTGCCTTCTTGAGTGCCAGGTGGCAGCTTGTTTTGGGGTTTTGCTCAAGGGTTGATCTGAGCACTGAGAACCCTTTCAGCCATAAACAAGATTTGATGGTAGCCCTTAGAATTTGCTTACAATACGTGGTTTTGGGTGAGAAACAAGGGGAAGTCACTATCAGGGGAAGAGTAGCAAGAGATACTTTGAGCTGTTCCAATGCGTGGCTTTCTCTTCTTTACTGAGCTGTCTCAAGGTATGGAGGGTAAACTGAGCCGTTCAGCATGGATTTCTCTAAATAAATAAGAAGCAAATTTTAAAAAGAAATACAGAGGTTAGTTGATTTTTCTTTCTTTCTTTTCTTTTTTTCTCTTTTATTTAATCAGGATTACAATGCAAGTTGTTACTTTTTGTGTGCTCTCAGATGTGTCATACCCAAACCTTTTTTTTTTTTCTTTTTTTTCTTCTGTGCTTTTTTATTTAGTGCTAAAAGCACCTTAAGCCTTAATCATTTACAGTTAGCAAAGTACTTTTGATATTCTTCTATGGAAATTTTGACCTTAGCTACTCAGATAAATTGTTCATGTGTCACAGCTGAAAAAAAGAAAAAGAAAAAAAATTAAAATAATACATCTGAAGTCTTCTGTTTTGCCAGCTGGATTAGAGTGCCCTGCCATTATGGGACAATAATCATATGTTTCAACTCTTGCCTATTACTAGGAAACAAGAAAGGAACAAAAACAACTTTGGTCTTTCCAGTATCGTGTGTCTTGTGTTTCCACATTTTTCCTAATTACAAGAACCTTTTTTACAGGACAGCCATTTTAAGATGAGGAGCTCATGCGTGATGTGGTAGGAGAAGGAGCTCTGCCTACTGCTGGTTAAAGCTTCTGTTGTTCTTCCATAGCTGTGAAAGGAATTTTGCACCATGACAAGACGTTGTAATCATCGACTGAATTTCCAGCATCCCACGCTACAAGCCTCAGACCTTCAGAGCTGGGATGGCTGTAGGCATGCTGCCCATCCTCCCTCCATCTCCATCATGCAGCACTTCCATACTCAATGCACACCTGCTCTTGGCTTGTTCTGAGCAACGCTGTGCACCAGCGGATGTATTTCTCCTTGTATATTAGTAGTGAATCCAGTCCACAGATGGCACACTCCTTTTCACCATAGCTGTGTGAGTTTTAAACACTCCATAACCCTCTAAAGCCATTGCCCAGGGCTCTGCAGTTGTTGTGTGTGCAGCACTTTGTCTCTTTGCTGCCATCATCCATACCCATCTGTTAGGATGGCCTGGAGCCAGTCTGTATGTCAGGCAGATCCTTTCCAATGGACCTGGAGAATGAGTCTGTGTTTAATATGCTCAGGATGGCAAGGCTCCATGTCTTGCATTCATCTTCTGTGCACTTCGTGGTTGTGCAGAGGCACAGGGGCAGTGCTGAGTTCAGGTCAGTTGCATGTGTAACCACCTCCATCCACCTGTATTCACTAATTTGATAGTAGTTAAGATTGTTTTTAAAAAGTGGAGAAGAAAAGACAGGATTTTCAAAAAGTGCATTCAAATGAGCAGATCAAATCACTTGAACGTTTGGGACAAGTAGGAGAAGCAATTCCTCTATGGAAATACATGTAGGGACAGGTACCCAGGTGGATCAGGGGATGCATGGTTGCAGGCACCTTTCCAAACTTGCAGTTGGTTTGTGTTTTTATTGGAGAACCAAGAGCTGGTAAGCAGAAGATGCTGCTCCCTAATTGTGCAGCTCTCAGCTAAAGGAGGAAGAGGTGTTTTGATCCAGGAATCCATGCTTATGCTTTTCAGGTCTGCCCTGGTGCAAGGCTGTTTGTTTCAGTTAGGAAGATGATGTTCCCTTTCAACAAGGCAGCTGGAGTGGGAGATGATCCTTGCTGCACCAGATGTGGTCAGACCAGTGCAACATGTTCTTTATTTGGACAGCAGTCATTTGCTCCAACAGAAGTGTTGTGGTGCTTCCTAAATCCGTGGCAGGAAGAGTTGTACTGTTTTAATTATGCTAGCTGATTATACTGCCAGTTTATTAGTGCAGTTATTGTAGGAGCTCTGTGCAAGTACAAGTTCACAGGGTAAAACTTGGGCCATATGCTTTCGCTAAGTCCAGTCCTGTATCCACACTTTCTCCCTTCTGCAGCCTCGTCAGTAGTTTTTCCCTTTTGTTGTGTTATTTTTCATTATACCTTAGGCCCAAAGCTGACAGTCTTTGATTAACCACCTTGTTGGGTTGTTTATTTCTGAAGCATGACACGCTGTTGCACTCCATACCAAAATCCTTGTTGTTACACTCCCATAGGCTGAGAATTTGTCTGTGAGTAAGACCAGCTATTTCCTTTTTCTCTGGTCAGCTGGAACCTCCATTCAGACATACTCCTGTGTTCAAGATAACATGATTTTGCTTGAGAGTAATAAAAGGATGTTAGGGAGGAAGGATTGGTTTGAAGCCCAGAGATCCTATGTGGAGTCATATGGAAGAGAGACAGTACCAGGGAGCCGTAGTTCTTGAATACAGATCAGTTCTTCAGGAGCTGATCCAGAAAGTGGGAAAAGCCTGTGTGTCAGGCAGGGATAACTCCCTCTTGTTGCATTGTTTTTCACTGAAGGCCTTAATGATGTCCCTTGAGAAAGCAGGCAAGAAAACAGCACACTGCAGAAGCGATTTCTCTTGGGGTGTGCTTCTTGGGGAAAAAATAATTAAATCTTACAGGCATTATGCACTTGCATTTTTTAAATTTACTATGTAGATTTGGCTGGCAACCAAATTAATAACCCAATAAATCACCGCTACAATATTAAAGGTATTAAACTATTGGCATGGTTTACTCAGCTGGTGCGTTTCTGTTGTTTTTGCTGCTGCCAGTCAATACTGAAATCCTTTGTTAATTAAAAGAACAAATTTGTATTTCTTGCAGTTTTTTAACCCAAATGCTTTCTCCCTCCCTGCAGAAGCAGCACGCTTTGATCTGCAAATGCTGTATTTCAGCGGTGCATCTGGAGCCCATTTCTGGTGGAAGTTCTCGGGCTGCAGCTTTTAGAGTAGGGGGGATACTTTTCTGAGATGAAAGCTTAGGCTCAAGAGTGACTTTTACTGAATTAGAAAGTCATGGTTATTAAACATAAAAAGCAGCAGAGGAGATTACTAGTTTATAAATGTTGCTACTCTGAATTACAGTGCTACTGCAGAAAGCTGAGAAAAGCTGGGCTAAGGCACAGTCAAGCCAGGAAATCAAAAACCTCATTTTTATGTCCATATGAGAGGCTAAAACTGTTCTCTTTCATAACTGCTCTGCATTTGTTCTTCTGTTGTAATTGATTTTTTTCATGCCTTGGGACAAATCAGTGTTCCGTTAAATAACATAACTCTCAGATTCCTAAAAGCTGGTCCTGGCCGTGGGACTAAAAAAGGCTTGGACGTACAGAGAAATGTACACCCCTGAAGATGCCAAGAGCTGTAGGGAAGCCCTGCAGCTCAGTGGCTGTCATGGCTGTCCACAGAGCCCTTCTTTTCACTTTGACTTCTGTGCTCTTGCAGTCTGACCCCGAGATGTCCCGAGCACATTCAGTCCCACTGGAGCCAGTCCCTCGCTTTCATGCAGCGGTGTCTCCTGGATTTCGCAGCCAGCTTGTGCAGAGCGTGTTTTTCCAGGTGCTGCAGTGTTTAGGTTCCTTGGCTTTTTGGCTGTCAGCACCTCTAGTTCCATGCCAGCCATTGTGCTGCACTTGGCATGCGTGTGGCTTGTCTCCAGTAACAAGGATGTGGGGGAATGGCATTCACCTAAGCGGCAGCCTACAAATTCATATTTCTTTTTCTTTCCTTATTCCCAGAGAACATCCCTCGGGAGACACTGATGCACTTTGCAGTGAGGCAGGGCCTGCTGAGGCTGACGTGGTTTCTGCTCCAGCAGCCAGGAGGAAGAGGAGCTCTCAGCATCCACAACCGCGACGGCGCGACGCCCGTGAGCTTGGCCTTGGAGAGGGGCTACCAGAAGTTGCATCAGCTTCTGACCGAGTAAGGATGACTTCATGGTTCCTCTGCTTGTTTTTCCTTTATCATGCTTCCCTTTGCTTTATCCCTGAAGAGTGTCTAATTGGGGAGTATTGGTTGGAGGTGGATGGTTGGACTAGATGATCTTAGAGGTGCCTTCCCCCGTAGTGATTCCAAAAGCTAAACTCTACTCTTGAAGAAAATTTTTTTGTGGTTTTACTTTTACCTTTATTGCTAAAAACAATGGGAGAATGACTTTAGTATTCAAAGTAAGTGCAGTAATACTGTTGGGTTCTCCTTTTCTGTTCTGTTCACGTTGTTCTGTTTCCAGCTGTGCCTTGCAACCTAACGTGAGTCATAATATCAGCTAATTAAGCAAACCTTGTACAAACACAAGTGAAAAATCTTGTCTTCGAACAAGTACAGCTGTTGAAAGGAGTGCAGCTTGCAGGCTGGTGACTGTGACTGTCACATTTGTACTTCATTGATCTACAGGTTTTTTGGTTAGATGAAATGGTAACAATTCTGTTGAACTAAAGCAGTGTCTTGTAGAGAACAGATATCTGCTGGTATAAGTCAGAATTTAAGTAAAAATTAAGGCAAGTATTTGCAGCAGAAACCGTTCTGTTCTACGAGGGTGATGAGAAGCAGCCAGATCTTGCCAACTGCAGCAAGTAACTTGTTGCATGAGCCCTCACTGCAGAGTTTGACAGAAGAACTTCAGAAGATGCAAAGTTATTTTTGAATAGCAAACGTTTGGCTTGCTGGCTTTAAAAGCTGCAGCTAATAAAGACAAAGAGCTTTAAATAAGTTCTGGGGCGGGAGGGCTGTTTGTGAAAGTTTTGGTCTGTATGTCTGCTGTTCTGATGCCCAGTTCTCTTAAGCTTTGTTATTAACTTTGTTTTCCTGATGGGAATTTTCAAATGCTTAGACTTTATATTCAGTGACCCAATGTCATGTTTAGGACTCTTCTGTGTTGTCCATGCTCTCACGCAACGTTTCTTTATGCTACACATTGTAAATTATTCTGTTTTCTATAGTTGTTGGACAGGATGTTAGAGGCAGCAAAAAGTAAATTTGGTTGCTCATGTGCTTGCATTTAAGTTTCATCTGAGGCAGTGAAGCCAACCACATAGCAGGTAGGGTGAAGGAGAAGGGGAGGGGTGAGGTAGGAGCTGTGCTCTGTCTGTCCTTTTCTTCACCGCTGTTGGCTGGGATCAATACAGAGATGGTGGCAGTGTTTTTCTTTTTCCCACGTGAGTTCAACAGCAGTCATAATGTGAAAATACTCAACGGTCTCGCAGGCTGCTTTGTAAAACTGGAATAAGCAAATTCATCCTGAAACTGCAGCCAAGAGCTCCAAGGTGAGACTAATGATGTTGACAGAATTTGCATACTATCACAAAGTCTAAATTGACCAAAACTTGATTATAAAGCTCACAGCAAACACTGTGATCTGAATGAGCGGAGTCGGTAATTTTAAAAGATGTGGCAAGTTAGCAGAGCTGTTACAACTGCTGTTCATGTATTTCACAAGCAATTCCAATGCAGTCCTTTCTTGGTGGGAAAATAAGCAAAAGCACTTGGTTATGTGGCATTGCCCTCTGCTAATCACTGGGACAGCTGCTGTTGGTGTCATCTAAGGAATTTCTCTGGTGACCTTTGCAGTACATCTTTGAACACGAGATACTGTAGCACCCTTTTTAGTTCTTTTTAGTGCATCTTAAAACCATGTAGGTGAGTTAAGCAGAATTATGGCTAGTTTTCCTCTTGGGTGGAAATACCATGCCTAACCATCTGACAGGTGTGCTATGTATCTTGTTGCTCCAAAAAGCTTCCAGTAGATGGTGGATGCAATGAAGGTGGCCTGTTTCCATAGCAGAAGTTTCGTTATGCTTGGTGCTTTCTGCAGTTGCAGGGGATCAGTGCCTGAAAATCCATACTGGGGAGAGAAATAGTGAGTTTCAGAATAGGGAAAAGCAGCCAAACTCCATGACAAGAGTGTATATTATTTATGTGCTGTCAAAACACAATGGATACTGTGCAACCTCTTTTCTGCACTCTGCTTATGCACAGGCTGTGTAAACCATGCACACACATTTGGCACACAGTGTGTACCACTCAGCAAAATACGGAGCAGCAACGCATGTTAGTGAGAGCTTGTACAAAGGAGCCATTATTTTTACAAGTAATTAAGCTCCACTTTGCAAAATAAATGAATGCAGCATGTTTTGTGTTGCATTATCCTTGGGGGGATTTTATTGTTCGCTTTGGTTTCTAATTTGTAGGACCCTGCATTTCACAACTCTTCTCTTCGTCAGTGTGGGGAAGGGGTGAAGTTCTGCTGTAATTAAGGCAGAATCATTAAAAAACAGACAGAAAACCTCTGTTGATGCAGTTTTGTCTGGGTTCAGCTGCAGTGTAAATATTTTTCTCAAAAACTAATGACGCTGGTGACATTTGGAATTTCTGTTTGTCAGATGAGCTTTCTCTTTTCAGCTCTTAAGTTCGTTTTAAGGATGCAAGATGCCTTCCATTGCAGAGCTGCAAGTCTGGAAGCTTCTTTTACTGTAGGCTGGAGCTTGTGGTGTGCATCCTCTGGCAGAAGGGATGCACCCAGAGCTGCTGGCGGGGTTGGATGCACCTGATCTCCCATAGAAAAGCCTTGGGAAGCAGGCAGCATGAGCTCTCTCTGAGTTTCAACAGTTCCCCAGTGCGGGAGAAGTGAATTGAAAAATGAAGGCTCCTTTGTTGAAGCCTGCTGCTTCCTCATGTTTAAATTGGGCAATGCTGGCTGCAGGGCGTTGGCAGCTCTGCTGTGCTGTGCAAAGACTGGGCTCCAAGGAGGCAGCAGGGCTGTAACCAGGGCAGGGTGAGTAACTTGGCCTCTGCAACAGGACGGCTGCGTTTTGCAGTAGTTGATGTTTTTTAATATGGTTCAGTGTAGTAACATAATCTGCCTGCCAGCTCCATGTTCTTCAGTGTAAGTCAGGCAAGTAAAATGGCTCCAAGAAATAGCTTGTGTTCTGAATTTCGGAGTCGGAGTGCTGTTCTGTAAAACATACTCTCATTTTGTAACCTGATTTCATTTCTGCAGAGCAAAGTTCCGTCCAGCAGCCCAAAAGGATCTTTTGATCTCTTTTTTCTTTCAGTGAAGCCGAATGTGTGGTGTTACTTTGCAGGCTGAGAGTGAGGGTAAGAGAAAAGTAATGTCTGTAAGAAAAACTCCTGCATTTTCCAGTCAGTGCATAGGGGAAGATACAGAGCACAAGTCTCTTGTGCTTCTTGCATTTACTTTGCTTTTCTGTTTTCTCTGCTGGCCTCTTATTACCATGAAGCACTTCTGTGTGTCTCTGTGAGTCAAACCTTTGGGTAGCAGCGTGGTGTCCCAGAATGTGAAGCCATAAACCAGTATTAGTGCAGATTTCCAAAGTTAAACTGACCTAGATTTAATTAACACACATAAGGAACAGCTTGCTGGTAACAGAAGTTTATTGTGAACATTTTGCAATGTTTGATAATCACTTGCTATTGTTCTGATTTTGTGTAAGTGGTGATGTCTGTGCTGTAATCTCCGTGGTGCCTCTCAGATGAGGAAGGGTTTTCAGTCACTTTACTTTTGTAATTGAGTGTTCTTTGCTGCTTTTCTGGGCCAGGGCTGCAAGAGGATTTGTCTGGTGTCTCATTTCTTTACACACCAGTTCAGCAAGTCCATTAAGCGTGTTTGATTTCAGAAATCTCCAGTTTGTCTTCGGCTGTGTGTGGTGCAGGTGCATTCTGAAATCACAGGGTTTTTGGGCTGGGAACATCACCGACTGCAGTGAGTTTGGTGCCAGGCTGTGGCAGTGTGTTACAGTGTGCTGACCTGGTCCTCTCTGCACCCTTTCCCAAACTGTGAGCTGAGTGGCAGCGCTCTGAGTCTCCTCTATGTTATTTCTTTCTCTGTGGTTCCCTGTGCAAGAAGCAGGAGGCAGCTGGGGACACGCAGGTGTCCTGCGGGTTGTGCAGCATCGCCTGCCCATTGCTTTGCTCTACTTTGCATTTGTGCTAACCAGAATCGGCAGCTGAAGAATTTACTGAAGTAATGCTGATGGATCTCCTGTTTTTTCCTTCTGTTCTTCCATACAAAACCAAGCAATAAACCTTTTAATTGCCATTTAAAGGGATGTTCAGAGAAAATAAAAGGCAAAGATGGAGGATCTGATGAGAGATCTGTGTGTTAAGATGCTGCTGCTTGGGTACAGAAGCATGGGAGTAGTAGTGATCCAACAGGCATCTAGTTTCAGGTGCTTTATTGATGAACTTCCAGTTGATTTTTTTGCAACAGAGTTGTTTAATTGCTAGTTCATCCTGGCAAAAAGGATGCTGAGATGCTGTGGCTTTTCTCTGGTCATGGCATTACAGCAGGGGAACAGACAGCAGCAGAGACAGTGTGATGGAGCAAGAGGCATTCTTGCTTTCCACCTTCCATTTACTCACTCGTTGCACGCACTAGCTTTTGCTCTTTTCCTGGAGTGCTCCAAAATCCGTACTGAGATCTTCCTTTGTAGGTAAAGCTAGGAAGGTGAAACAAATGCAAAAATGGATGTAACAACAGGCAGCTATTCCTGTGGAATGTGCACTGTAGAGTTTGGTAAATATATTTGATGAGGCCTGAGAAATGTTTGGGTTTTAGAGTTCACACCCTCTGATGTAGAAAATATATTGCATTTGTTAAGATAACTGGACTTGTCCTGGGATTGCAAGTCTGTAAATAACTGTTGAGGGAACAAGCCAGCTTTCTTCTCTGGTATGATTTCCTATTGTATAGTGTGTTGATTGTTGGGCTGAGAAGTTAGCGTTAAATATCTTGAATTCAGTTGTTGAATATTTAATTGATATTGGAGGGCTAATCATGCAGTCCTGAACTCAGTTCAGCATGCAAACCCTCTGCTGTTCACATTTGCGTGGAGCACCGTAAGTGGTTACTCATCGTTTCTGCAGCGATGAACTGTTTCCTTCAACATCAAAAGCATTCCAGTTAGTGAGAAGATTTGCTTTATATGAGAAATACTTGGTTTTTTTTTTTCTTCTTTTCTCCTGTTTTCCAATAGCTTTTGGTACATTCACCTGAGGTATAAACACTGTCTTTAAATCATTTTCCTGTGTATGAGCAGTCCATTTGTGTTAACCCGTTCTACCATGTGTTAGTTGCGTGTGTTTTTTGAGTCTTCCTGTATGATACATACTGATATTCCAAAAAACGGGGAGGGATATGGAAGTGCTGCTGTGCACTTGTGCTGTGTATGCCATTAAAGACAGTGGGGCTGTCGACAAAGAGCTGCTCAGACCCATACAAGGCCTGCGTTACCCAACATTCTGCAACAGCATTGATTTACTGTCTTATCTGTTTCCATTTACTTTGCAGTGGGACAAAACAAAACAAAACAAAAAACAACTGTTAAAAGGATATGAAGGGAACACACAGTCAAAAAGGACACACTGAGTGCTTTCAGGAGTAATAGCATTTCCACTAAGCATTAATTGTAATTAGTAATGAGCAGTTGTTGGCATTATCAGTAGCTGGTTGTTGCTGGCTGCCTGCAGTTTTGTTTGAAGAACAAGGAGATACTTTGGAGCCCCACACCCCTGTGTGTGATGAGCTTAGGAAACTGCCTTTTGTTTGTTATGGTTTTCTGGAGTCTTGCTCTGACATTCTGGTGACTGTGATAAATCTGGGTGTGGATTTTCATTGGAGGGGCTGTTAGCTTGATGTATGTAAGTTGTTAGTGTTAGGGACATGTTGTGCAACAGCCACCAAAGCCCAGCTTCCTGTCCCAGTAGGCACCGTTCCTTGTTTATCCCGGACCACAGTCAGCCTATCTGTCTGATCTCGTATTTTCAGTGAGTTATTAAAGTAACAGCCATAAATCAAAATTTGAATAGGAATGTAAGATATGTAACACTAAAATCCAGTGTAGGTTTTATTTGTCTTAGGGAAAAGAACATCTAAATTCTAGCATTTCCTAGCTTTTTGCCATAACCATAGCCCTTTTTTTAAATTATTTTTTAATTGTGATTTTCTTTATCACATGAATCTGACGCTTTCAGAACCACCCTGCAGCTGTGGCTAAGGTCACAGTAGGATCCTAAGAGCCAGCAGTGCTGCTGGGTTTGCTTTGTCCCAGCCAAGGTCTGGCTGAGAAATGTGAAGGGATTTCCCCAGGAAACAGCACCTTGACTTCCTGCACCGCCTTCCGCCTGTGGGATCCCCCTTCCTAGTGTGAGGCTCTGCTTAACCCACTGAGATTGTTTGGATCATTTGTCCAATCTCTTCCTCAGCCCTTCCTCTCCCCTTTGGATAAATCCTATTATCTGTGTACGGGAAGGCGCTTCTTTTGGAGCCCTGACGGAGCCGAATTTCAAACCACTCCAACTGATGACTGCTTCTAAAACTTTGAAGGGCTTTTCCTCCAGTCAGAGCGCATTTGTTATTCTCCCCCTCTCGCTTATCTTCCCTCTTTTTATAAATATCTTGCCTGTATCTGCAGGAAGCTGGGAGCTGCACTGGGTCGTTGCAGCCGTTCCTCTGCTGCTTTCCTCCCCTCCTTGGCTGGGGGCCATCCTATCAGCTTCACTACAAGACCAGAATAGATCTGCACACAAATACGGCGCTCTGCTCCTCCTTCACCGGGGATGGCACTTGCTTGTGAAAGTCTAAAAAATAGTATTGCTTGTAGTTTCTCATGTGTCGGATGTGCCGGTGATGCTGTGGTTTGAGTCATGGCCTGAGAGCATTTTGGAGGTGGTGAGGGGTTGAGTTTGCTCCTCCGCTCGCTGTGTTTGGGGTCAACATCCTTCCTTGAGCCCCGTTTCCATGGGTGAAAGGCCGCTGGTAAGTCTTTCTCCACGCAAGCACTGTTCTTTCATGAAGGCAGCCATTTCCTTTCTGTGCAACAGAAAATGGGCTTGAAGCAGCGGAGAGTGGGGCTGGAGATTCCCGCCAGGTTTTCTCAGTGGGACACGGCTCAGCGCCGCGGACTGTGCTGGAGGTGAAGGCATTCATATGACTACTGTGGACTTCGTTGGTCAGTCCTTCACTTTTGTGCCAAGGGAGATGCTTCCATCAGTGAAAGTTTGGCTTAAAGTTGGTAGAAGGGAAACTTTCTGTTCAGTGCTGTCTCCCAAGTATTTCTGTTGAAAGGGCAGAAAGAATTGACCCAGGATGGTCAGAACCTGTAAGCCTTGCTTCCCCTGTTGCAGGCAAACTGTGGTTAAGACTTTTGCTGAATGAAAGCAGATTTTCAGGCTACTTAAATGCTGGAGTTTCTATCTATGTCTGTTAATAAATCTTCAGTAAGTATTTGCGTTTTTGTTTTTATCTCCTAGTAGTTCGCCTTGGGTATGTACTCCTGTACAATTACAACCACCGCAGAAATTGCTAATCTGTACAAAATGAGTGCTTTTCATAATTAGGGAGCAGTAAAAGTAGGTCTAAATCCTGTTTTCGGAAAGAATGTATGTTTTTGTAATTTCTCAATAGAAGGTAGGGCTTGCAGTGAGCCAGAAAGGAGACACACAAATGGTTAAGCTCAACACAGGGGCAAAGGAGCAGGAGGGCATTCTCATGTGATCTACGTCCTCTTGAAAGTGATTGTCTGAGCTACAGAAATAGCAGTGTGCAAACAAGTTGACACTTGTGAGCACTCATTTGTCCTCTTTGCTGCAGTACGTCAGTGCCTGGATGTGTCTGTATGAAAGGGATGACTTGGAGGAGTTGGTGGATTGAGCCATCTTAATTATGTACAACATGGGTGACTGCTCCTAAAAATGAGAGCTCTGTTATCTGGTTGGTTGTGATGTGAGAAAGATCTATTCCAAAAGGCTTATAAGCCCCTTTGTAGACTGCAGTGCAGATTTACAACTAATATGGAAAGGAAGTGCTGTCTTGAATCAGCAGCAATCACCGCTGCTCACAAATGATCTGCCTGACCTGCAGAAGATGGAGGTGGCAGATTGCAGCAGCGGTAGCAGTGGTGGGATGCGCTCATCATGTTGCAGGGCGCCGTGCTCTCCTGCAATCCCACTCCAGGTATTGAAGCCTTTGAGGGTTCTCTGAGGCTGCAGCTCTGCAGGCTGCTCTGTGGGTGCCTGTTTGCTTGTAAGTATACTTGAAGCTGATGAGAAAGTGGAGAAGGCTGTTGTGTTCTGGAAGCCTGCTGGTGGCGGCTTCATGAATGGGTGAATATGGTTTTTTGTGATGACTGCTTCATCGTGCTTTGATAGTAGGCCCTGAGCACAGTGATTTCTTATACATGGCAGCTGAAAAGAAAAATAGTCCATACAGAAATGTCTGTGTTTCCTTGATAAAGGAAGGTCATTTCTGTAGCCTCTTTGTGCTTGTGATGTCTTGGTCGACTTCAGTGCCTCAGTGATTGGATTTGTACTAACAACCGCAAAAAACTGTACGCTTCCTCCTGCTTCTCTATAGAAATATTGATTCTGTTTAAATCAAGAGTAATTCTGCAGAAGTCAATTGAGTTACGTTGTGGAGAAGGGTGGAAGGCATAGTTTTGCTTTGTCTGAATTTGCTTTGTGTCCTGATTTTACCCGAAATGACTCACAGGGAGGGGTTGGATCACTGCACTGGGGCACTGTGGAGGCAGCTGTTAGCCCTCCGTTGGCTGTGGCTCTCAGTTGGCCTCATGATCATTCAAACTGATCTTTGCTACCCTGAGCCAGTTCTGATGCAAAATGGAAGTTCTGGACCTGAAGCTTTAGGTGAGCACCTTGGTAAGGTGAATGCTTCCACATGCCCTTATTGTGCCCGTGTTGTCTCTGTACAGCTTGGTGGCAGCAGCCACACGAGGTGGTACAGCATTGGGTTGCAAACTTGTTCACAGTCAGGGTTTGAGATGACTAGGTAGAAATTTCTACTGACACGAAATAACTGCTGAGTTATTTTTTCAATCTGAAATCTATAACAGCACCCTTTTATCCTCTTTTCCTTTGATAAAAACAACGTCTGTGTTATTACTGCAGAAGGTTGGCTGTCTCATAAAAGAGAGAATGACTTGCATAGAAGCGTTTTCACAGGGCAAGCAAAATTCATTTCAGGAGTGACAAAACTGCTACAAGCTGATGGCTGTTGGGTTTTTGTGCAGAGGCGTGCTGGTTTCAGTGTAGAAGTTGTAGTATCTGTATCACAGAATTGTCACTCCCTCTGACTTGTCCCACTGCGGTCTGTCTCTCGGGTATCTATTGTTCCACAGCAGCTACTCTGGTGATCTACACCTGCAATAGGTTCTGTTTAAAAAGCAATTGTACCCCTTGTTGCTAGTTGCTCATGCTCTTCCAGTCTAGGGGAAAACAGCAGGTCTCTCTACTGTAGAAAGGCTGTGAAATAGAGCTGGTGGCTGGAGTTAGCTGTAAGTCACCTTCATTTCCAGGATGGAGACGTGTGTGCGTGCGTGTTCAGCCGTCTGGCCCTGGAGCCTATGCTCTGCTTCACTTGGGCCATTGATTAGATGACTGTCCAGCGTGAAGAACAGCGTGCGTGTCCTGCAACGCAGCATTCCTTCTCACTCGCAGGTTAACCCGCACTGCTTTTATTTCAGAGAGGAAGCCACGGAGCCCGACTCGTGGAGTACCCTGTCTCACACTGTGCACACTGGGGACTACTGCGTCAAGCACCACCAGCAGCTCGATGTTTACACGCTAACAGCTGAAACCAAGGAAGGGACAAAAGCCAGCCTGGAGAGTGACATACGGCAGCTTCAGATGCACATGCAAAGCCACCAGCACATGGTAAGGAAATCCTTGTGGTGACTGAACGAAGGAGAAGTGTGTGTTTGCAGCAGCCTGGTACCTGGGAGGGATGTCCATGCATAGGAACCATTTGGGTGCATGTTTAGTAGTTAGTCTTGACAGAAACCTACCTTTTTCTCTTTTGTTTCCTGCCTTTACCTTTGTTTGGGGCATCCTTAGCACAAGAACACATAAGAAGGGCAGAGAGGAGTGTCAAGTTGCATTAGATGTGCTCTGGAGGGTCTTGGGGTCAGTAGGGGTTAGCACAGTAGATATGTCTTTGTCCAGGCAAGAAAGGGTCAGAGAGAAGAGTGAAGGGAAAGCCTTTGGGATGCTGATGGAGAAAACAGTGGTTTTCTTTGTGCCTGTGGGACTCAGGGGTCAAGCCAACCCCAGCCATGCAGTGTGCGTACCCACAGGCCTGTCCTTGCTGGGGCCCATGGTGGTTTGGTGACAGGAGCAGCGCTGACACGAGGCAGGGACTTTGGACATTTCCCCTCAGTGCCTGATAATCAGTGCCCAAGGGACTCATTCAGGAGAGGAAGATGAAGCAGCGAGACGCTTCTGTGCGATTTCTCAGAACCGCTCTGCATGTAGCATGACTGCCACTGTTTAATCACCCACAGATCTGCTGCTGGGGGGGGGTGTGGAGTTTAAATAACACTGCTCCTGGGGGTTTCTGTTCCCTTAACAAGCAAGGAGAGAACCGTTGTCTGCAGGAAAATGGGGTCCAAAGCTGTTGGCCACCCAAGCCGTCAGCACCCTTCTCTGAGTGGGTGGTGTTAATTACTCCCGACCTGAGCAGGAACTGGTGGTACAGCAGAACTTACCACGAAGTCTCTTCCCTGTGCTTCTCCTTTCCATCAAATAACACTGTACACGGCCAGCATATCGAGCTTGTTTCATGTTTGCTGGAGCGAATGCCAGACGTGTACATGTCTGACAATGAAATCACAAAAGGCTATGTTTAGACTTTTTCTTTCCAGCGCTGTTTCACTTCACATCTAATCTGATTTGGATTTGGAATGCAGCCCTGTAATTATTTCATTTAGGTTCATTTAGGGTCAGTTAGAAGCCAGTTGGCTTCCTTTGGAGACGGCTGTATTTTTCAGTCTGCTGGCAGAGCGACTTTGCCATGATGGTGCTGGGGCTGCTTTGGACCCTCCTGTTGAAATCCGTGCTCGTTCCAGAGCAAGTGTCCTGTTGTCTGCATCCATCCATCCATCCTGACCGGAGGCCAGCAGCACGGTGTTAGATGGAGATGGCAGCTTTGCAAGTCCATGCTGCCTGCCTCCTGGACTCACCTGCCTTAGGCTGCCTCAGAAGACACAAGCTGTGCCATGGCTGGCAGCATCATCAGCTGTGTGGGAGCGAGGTGAAGGGGTTATTTTAAATAGGAGAGCCATCACAGACACCAGAATTAGGTTTAGTGGTCTGTGATTCAGTGAGTTGGTGGCAGTGGTCACAGTTGCAAACCTCAGATTGTGGAAAAAATAGCAAACACAATATCCTGAGGGCAGCGGAGATCGTTGCCACTGCCTGTATATGCAAAAAATAAAGAAGTTTGAAATAGATTCATTAGAGTGCTGAATTTCTAGAGAGCTGCAGGCAGTCCTATCCTGCTGACTGAGAAAGCAGTGTGCCCTCTGAAAGCATGCAGTGAAAGCCCAGAGCTTGCCTTCAGAGCTGCTTCCTACAGAAAACCAAGGAAGCTCTGTGGGGTCTCCTCTGAAGGGCTGGGCTTGCTCATTATTTTAACAAATCATTTTTTTCTGGTTCCTGAACACTAGAATACAGCAGAGAGGAGAATAAAAAGATGATATTAAAGTAGAGATGGCTCTTTTTAAGTAAAGATTTGATTGTATCTAGCTATAAAGCATAGTGAATGCTGGACAAAGCGGACATGCTTGAAAGGAAATGCAGATTAGACAGGAACTGAGTACTTAGCTACTGTTCCACAATATTGCACATATTAATTTTAATAGGATGTTGTCATTTTCAAATTTTCGTTTCCACTTAGGAAATATATTTCAGATATTTAATTATGCATGCATTTCTTAGGAGGGATTAGATGATTACTTTGGTCCTAGAAATAGGAGACGAGTGGCTGTGAAAAGACATTGACAGCCGACTGCCTTGTCTGAAGTGGTGTTTCTACAGGAGAGGGAAACAGGGCAACACTGATCAGAACTGGGGAGGTGCCGTTGGGCAGGGATCTGAAGTTGTTCTCAAGCAATGTTTGCTCGGCCCTTTGGGACCATTATTTGGTAGATTGAATTCTGCTGTTTGCTGATCTTGGATTGAAGTGCACTGAAGAAATAAGTGTACAGCTACTTCAAAAGCAGTGACAAAAATGACAGAACCAAACTCTTTGCAGATGGTGTAGCAAGGAGTTAGAGGGACAAATTTCAGCTCTGGGTATTTTGGACATGCTGCTAGGAAGAAGGAAGGTGGGGTGGCACTGAAGGAGGTTATTCAGGGAGATGCTTGTTCCTCCATCGTTGGAGGCTTTTGGAATTTGGCATGCCAGAGTCATGCCTGATCTGACGGAGCACTGCTGATAGAGGCCAACTTCAGAGGGGAGGTTGCACAACCTCCAGATGCTTCTTCCAGCCAATGTTTCTGTTATTCTAATGATTTTAGTATTACTGCATAGCAAATCAATATGTGATGTTTGTGGTTCTGCCCTAGGGGTCGCAAGCGTCATGCAGGTGTACAGCAGGAGCCACATAAAACAGGTGTTTGTTAAGATATAGGTCTTATTCATGTTGAATACAGTGTAAGAGTGTGACAGAGCAAAATAATCAAAATTTTCTTTTTGCTTTTTAACAGAGTTCAAGGAAGCGGACGAAGATTGTACTGGGAGCCTCTGGAAATAGCTGTGGCAATGGAGCTGAGCCAGTTGGTCACTCAACTGCTTCATCTCAAAGCCTAGGAGGAATGCCAGAAGAAGGAAGGAAGGAAAGTCCATCTGATGTCCTTCACCTTGACAGTGGGCAGCTCTCAGACCAAGCCCACCAGGAGGACGAGTGCCCCAGTAGGTCACTGATAACTGGTGCTATTGATGCACCAAACGGCTCGCTGAGTCTGGGGGTGGTGGAGAGCCCAGAGTGCTCCTGTGAAAGCAAAAATACGGTGACGTTGTGTAAAAAGGAAGAGGAGGGGCCAGCCTCTGCTCAGAGCTCCGGGACTGTATCTGATGAGAACGGCTGCACAGTCAGCCCGTGTGCAGGCGTCAACGGTGCTGTAAATCTCCCATCCTGTGGAAATACAAATGAGGAAGCTGGAATGACATCTGCTGGAGTTGTTTTGGATCAAGCCGGGTTGTGCAGTAAAGATAGCACCCATCAGGAAGTGGGTGCTGCTGAGGAGTGTGCAGCTGAAAGTACTGTTGCTGTGGTTGAAACTGCCGGTGAAGCCCCAGCTTCCCGAGAGGGCGTGGATGTGGCCATGGGCCAGACCGAGTGCAGGAACTGTGCTGGGGCAGCTGACAGGGCGCCGGGCCAGCAGCAGGTAGAGGATGGGATGGCTGAGACCCCTGCAACGAGGACTGAGGATCCAGGAGAACTATTGCCAGCTGAGGAAGAACCCGCAAGTGTTGCTCAGCCCTTGCTTGATGGCTTTAATGGCACTGAATGTGCAGGTGGGGAGGATGCAAATGTGGGAGTGGTACCGGAGTGTGACAGTACAAATGCAAATGTTGACATTGATGTCTCTGTTGGTCTTTGCAAGAGTGGCGATAATGATAAGACTGGAGTGTCAGGCACTGATCTGGTAAACAATGGAGTTTTGGAAAGCAAAGGTGGTGCCTGTGTCAAGGAAAGGCCAAGAGTCACTGCGAGCACCAGGGCACCGCTGCCTTCAGTGAATGGAGTGAAGGTACCTGTGTGTGTGCCAGTGTTTCCTGATGCGGAAAGCCAAGACAGCAGGGAGAGTGTGGAACCTGAAGGGCAGGTGAAAGTGGGTAGCACAAATGGCAAATCCAGCTCACCCTCCCTGGAAGACAGCGTGGAAACTGATGGCCTTGATGCTAGAGCTGAAAATGGCAATATTGGTGGAACTAAACAAAGCAGTGAAAAACCCACACATTGCCAGGGGAGCGGTGACATTGCTGAGTGTATAGGCAAAGCTGTGGAGGGCAGTGGAGCCCACAGCAAGGCGCCAGTGGGAACTGATACCAGCAGCAGCAGAGAGGGAGGAAGCATAGATTCTGCAGACAGAGCTCAGGAAGTTGCTAGCTGCTGCCCTCCTGTTGATCAAACTACTGTTCATGATGAAACAGGGGACAAGTTAAAGCTGGATGGCACTCAGGGGAGTGTGCAGGAGCCCAGATTGCTCCCTCTGGAGGATGCGAGCACATTCTCAGCAGGGAAGGAGCCTTCGGAAGCTGAAGAGAGAACAGAAATTGCTTCAGGGCAAGGGATGCCCCATCCTGATGCAGGGGACCTGGCTTCAGGTCGGACAGGAGATGCTATAGTGGCACCTCCTGGAGAGGAGGCACCCCTGTGCAGTAGTGACCCTGTTTTACCTCCGTGTTCCAAGGGCACAGACTGTACAGAGGATAATTTTGTAGGCACACCCTTTGTAATTCGTAATGAAGAATCTAAACAAAAGCAGGAAGTGGCAGCAGGATCGGCTGAGCTGGCCCCTCCGCACAGCCAGGAGCGTGGCGGGGTGGCCGGCGTGCTGGAGGACTATGCGGGGGCCCCAGGCCCTCCTAAGCAAAGCCTACAGCCTCATGCTGAAGGAGAAGACACAGCCAAAGCTGAGAGGGAGGTCTCCAACAGCAGCCAGGAGCAGGTTTTGTCGGAGAATCTGCTTGCCACAGTTGTGAAATCCTCTGTCGGCAGTGCAGAGAGGCCCGCAGCCAGCAGTGATGCGGGTGCTGGGCTGGAGGAGCTGGGCCCCAACCAGGCTGGGACAGCAGGAGCAGGAGATAGCATCATGCAAGGAACTGGGCCAGCAGCAGGGAGTAACCCTTGTCTGGATGCCGGGCTGCCCCAGGAGCGTGGTCCAAACCTGCAACATGTCTCCCCGCGCAGCAGCACCCCCGAATTGAAGGATGCTTTGGCAATGGAAGCCCCAAGCCTTGCTTTTGAGGCTGAGGAAGCGTTGCAGATAGCAGCGGTAACCTCCATCACAGGGTATGAGGAAGAGCAGGGGGAGATGGAAAGTGTCCTTCCCAGAGCCACGCTGCAGCCTATTGCGGAGGAGCCCACGTGTGACAGTGACTCCAGCAGTGACACCATGGGTCCGGGCGGTGATGGCGATTCTGCTCCCACTTCGACAGCAGCACAGGGGTTGGTCACAGCACAGCCTGAGGGTAAGCAAAGCCAAGGCATATCGGAGCCAACCCCTTCACCCTGCTCCTCTGGCTTCAATGCTGTTGAGTCACCCGAGCATGTGGGAGTAAAGAGTTCAGTTTCGGCAGATGATGGCTCTTCTCTGGATAAAGTTCCTAAAATGGTAAAAAGTTTTGATGCCGTAGTTTTTGCAGCTGAGACCCCTTCATCTCCTGGCTTACCAGCTGAAGGAAAAGTGGGGCCTGAGCCCCAGCCTGCAGTGGATGTGGCAGCTGGCCTTAACGGAGAGGCAGATTTAAGATCCTCTGCCAGAAAGGACGTCAGCCAGGCCATTCGCGGAACCAAGCCTGCCACAGGTATGGAAAATCACTTCCTTTAATGCTGCGTAGCTTTCCTTTGTTGGTTTGCCTCTAGCATCACATCAGCAAAGGAAGGGAAGTGAGTGCAAGGGGCTGCTGTGCAGGGGAAGTGTAGGTGTCTGGAGTTTGCTTTTTTTTTTTTTTTTTTTTTTTTTTTTTTCCTCCTCCTCATCTGAGAGAGAAAACTGAAGCTACAGTTTAACTTGGGGTTGAACTTTAAACTTGGAGTTGAAAAGGATGGCACTTGGCTGGCACTTGAGGCCTGGAAAGGACATCATGTCATATGAAGCTGTGCAGAAGGGTTTCCAGCACATACATCCCTTCTGGGGAAGGGATGAATGGGAGAGATATTTAGACTCCCGTATTTTCATGCTGTGCTCTTGGGCCTTGAGGTTTGTTTGCTTAGTGCTAATTTGAGCTATTCCTTCACTTTTCCCCCTGTAGTTTTACTAGCATGAAATCAGAAGATTGAGCAGCGCTGCCTTGCATTTTCTTTCCTTTACTGAAACAGCTGCTGGTGTCCTTCTGAACTGTGCAAAGCCACTTCCTAATTGGTGGCATTAGGTCATTTAAAGAGAGGGCCAGCCCTGCCCCCTCTGCCTTTTCCTGTCTGCGAGGCTTTTGTCGGGCTGAACAGCCGGGTGTTTCCCAGTGCACTTCAGCAGGGTGGGAATGCAGCGAGGAGTCAGCGCCTGACTGCTGGGATCTGCTGGGAGGGAGCGGTGTGATGGTGGGGAGCACAGCCTCTGTGGGCACAGCTCAGACCTGCTTTTGTGCTGCATGAGCCGATAGAAAACCGCCTCAGGTAACGCCAAGAGATGGGGAACAAGTGGATGAATTGCAGGAGGGAGAAAGGAGCTTGTCACTGCAGCCTGGAGTTAAACTGTAGGTGAATTCAGTGCAGCTGGGCTTCCCTTTGCATCCCACCTGTTCCAGCAGCTGTTGGATGCAAGTGGCTGAACTTTCTCAGTTGCTGTTTTTTTCTTTGCTATGAGATAATTATACAGTGCATTCTCTTTCCCAGCACTGAATAAGCAAGCAAGCAGACAATAAGATAGAAATGATTTAAAAGCAAATCTGCTATGATATAAATCATGCAGTTCTAAAGTTCTAAGGTATTTCACTGACGTGATGCTGGGAGCTTTTCCTTAGTCTGAATACAGGAGAGACGGGTGGCATAGGCAGAATAACTGGGGGTGGGGGAAAGGTTTGGTTTATGGGGGGTCTCTGTTAGTAATGTTTTTTTCTTCGAGTTCTTTGAGCATTAGGAAGTTGACTTGTCAAGAGAGAATCAGTAAACGTTACTCAGGAGTTCACTAGTAAATACTTAGGATGGCGTCAAGGTGCATTAGACAGCTGCTTGCAGAAGGAAATTTGTTTTTGTGCTCTGGCAGTTTGAAGTTTCAATAGGATGGGAGTGGCTGTAAGGCAACACCTGGGAGTGTTAATGTGGGGAGCTGCTTGGATTGTGCCTCCTTACAGCTCAGATCTCTCTCTGGTTGGGTTCTTGGAGGCATGAGGCTGTGTAGAGGAGTTTTTAAAGGAGAAGGGACTCAAAAGCCCTATAGGACAGTAACTGAAGCAGAAAAAATATTAGTTGGAGACGTCAGAGGGGTGTTTGCTGGTGTTGCATGCATCACTCGTGTTGATGCCTGCTCTGTGTGTGTGTTTTGTGTCCTTGGTCTGTCAGGGCTCCGTGTGAATTCCTCTCTGCTGTGTCAGTCCTGCGGAGTTTTCCCCGCAGTCTGGGGCTGTGTGGAGCATTTTGTGAGTCGCTGGTGTGCTCAGAATGAATCAAATCTTGTCTCAATAGGCTACAATAGAGCCTTCTCATAGGAAGTGTAGGTCATGAGGCCATTTCTCAGAAACGCGTGTGGTCAGAGGCTTATTGTCATGCTAATTTATCAGAGACTCAATCAGCTGGTACTGCTGCTGCCATGACTCCAAATCAAAAATTGGATTTTTAATTTTTTTAGTTTGTATTTGTAATTATATAGGGCTGTGCTGACAAATGCCTCCAAGCTGATGCAGCTTCTTGACAGCAGGCGACTCCGGTGAAGTCAAGCTGTGTAGCTGGGGTCTGGTGCCTTATAGCCATTAACAAATACTGTAATTGTTACTGCTGAGGCCTCTTCTGGGAGAGATTTCCTGGATGTTCTTGCTATGGATCTTGAAAACAAACACTCATTGCGAGGTAGAAGTGTATCACCTTATATTTCACCTTATGGTTCCATGAATGAGTGCTTGCTACAGGCTCCTTTCCCTTGTAGAGTAGCAGGATGAACTGGTAAGAAATGACACTGATTATGTGTGTGATAAGGTGCTCTGTGCCCCCAGAAGCCTCTTATAATATTATAATGCTAGGTTCTGCTTTGGGGTTCTAGCTGTTCAGGTGCAAGTGGAGGAGTGCAAAAGAATTGAGCTGAAATGCTAACTGATGGCCTCACAAGGAACAGAATTCTTGCCACTACGTTCAGGACAGCGCAGTGCCACAGACACTGCTTGGGTTGTCCATGATCAGGGAGGGAAGTGTAATTAGTGTTTGTCCGGTGGGGAAGCGGAAACTCAGTAGCTTGTTCGGTTGTATGGAGGACATGTTGTCAGGATATGCTTCTCCTCACCATGGCATTGCTGTGACCCCAAGCTGTTCTCCCCATGACTATGATTTCTGCTTCTCTAATAAACGGGACTCTCAGAAACTTGTGTCATTTCTGAGAGTCTATCTGTAGCAGTACTCAAACTCACTGCGATGAAATTATGCCAACTTGAGTTTGTCAGTAGTGCCTTGCAAATATTCCTAAGACACCAGAGTCAAAAGCAGATGGAAAGCCAATCGGCAGCAGTGGTCACAGCAGCTTTCCAGTGGCCGTGGATCAAACCTCTTGCAAAATTGCTTCCTCAAATGAGAAGAAGTCACTGGAAATGTGCATCTCCCTTCAGGTGTTGATGTTCATTGGTTGTTTTTCGTAGAAGTCAGAAAGGGAATGGGATTCGGGCAGGGTTTTTAGCCCTAACGCATGGGTGGCTTTGCCAAATCATTGCACTGCTCTTCAGCCTGGGCTGCATGGCCATGGCACTGCCACAGACATAAATGAGTCTGTTGGACACACTGCTTTGCAGACAGGAATCCTGTCATTGAAATGTTTTTGGTTTTATGTTCATTCTTTGTGTTCACGTGTGTTGTGAGAGGTGTTGGCTTGGGGGAAAGAGGTTTTTACAGCTTTGATGTTAATGCCAGGGAAAGGTACACAGAAGGGAAGGAACCCTTGGGGAGTGGTGACTGATGAAAGCTTTTGTAGTTTTGCTGGGCAAAGAAAGCAGCTGGGATGGTGTTTGTACCACAGTGCTGGTGAAGAGTGGGAATCAGCTGGGACTTGGTGAACCCCACCAGACAAGGCTTTGCCCTCCTGGTCCCCCATCCTAACCACCATCTTTAAGGCAGGGCTGAATTTCTGAAGCTTGCGATTTATCAGCACTGAAAATAGCACTGAAAATATCAATGGAGAAGGCAAGGCTCATTTCTTGCAATCTCTTCAGGCTATGGTAAGAGCAAAAACAGCAAAAAAAACTTCAGTTCTTTTACTGGAGGGATGGGAGCCAAGTGAATACATGGAGAAAGACACGTGGATGTGCTCAGCCTCACCTAGAGCCTCCCAGGACTGCTCGGCGTGCTTCTCCCCATGCTTGTGCTCTTCTCAGTGTTTCCTTCAGCTCAGACACGACAGTTGTTAAAACTAATAACAAACAAGCAGCAAAGTCAGGAATGAAACCAGATGTTGGGAGTGAGATGGACTTGTTGAAGGGGTTTGGGTTTTTTGTTGTTGGTTCTTTTTTTCTTTTTCTTTTTTTTTTTGTGAGGCTGGTTTGAATAAGCAGAAGAATCTCAGCAGTGCTGAAAGGAGTTTGTTTTAAATTGCCTGTGCAAACCCTCTGTTTTCACAGGGAAGTTGAAAATGAAAACTGAAGATGAGGTGGATTTTATGAAGGACCCCAGAGAGAGCGCAGCGCGCGAGGAAGCGGTGAGTGTCATTTGTGCATTTTCACCTTCTGTTTTTTATGTGCCTTTTAAAGAAATGCTGCAGGTGGTCAGCAAAGCTCTGGTTTCCTTCTGCAGCCTTTGCAGGGCTGAACATCGTCAGTCGTGGTCACGTTTTGTTTCAGCCTTTTAAAAATAGCATGGGCTTTTTTAGCTCTTGTGTACTTAGCACGCTTTGGGTGAAGCCACACGGAGAGGTTGTTCCAGTCTGAGGAGTGCAGATTGGCCCCAAAGGTTCCTCATGAGGCAGTGCTGGATGAACAGAGTTACATTCTGAATAGAAGATACACAAAGAGGAGGGAAAGCCCTGGATTCTTCAGATAGGGGAAATGACAGCAAAAGGTTGTGTTGGAGATCCAAAATGAGTTGTGTCCTTTTCGCCGTTTCCCCTGGCCCCTCTGCTTTGCAATAATAATATAAATACTGGGCTTGAAAGGAATGTGATTTTGGTTTAAAAAGCCCCTAATGTGTGTTCTGCTTTACCAAGAGCTGAGTTTTTGCTCTCACCTTTCTTAGCTGTGTGCGCATTTGTTCCTACGTTTTATACGTAGCTTCTTGTTCCTGAAGAAAAGTATTTTGTAAATGCTGAATTGCTCCAAGCCTGTGTTCTTGCATGTTGCTGCTGAGCAGCTGTGTTTGTGTGTCAGCCTGCAATGATGAAGCTGTTAAAAAGAAAAAAAAGCACTGCAAAGATGAGTTAACACTGCAGGGTGGAGCACCAAAAACTTTGCTCATCCCACAGTAAAGCTCTTTAGGCAGCAGCACAGTCTTGCCAAAGCATGTAATAAAATCAGGTTTATTTTGTTTTTAACAAGTGAAGGCTTTATTTCTGTAGCTGTTTGCTCAACGACTTAGCCAGGGACTAGAACTAATGGCTTTTCGAGGTAACATTTGTGTGTCTGATATTCATTAATGGGATGCGTGAGGGTAAAGACGCAGATGTTGTTTTACTGACCCTTTATTAGAGATATCGTGACTAATACTCACGTACCTGGTAGTACTTTATGGCATATTTAGAAAGTGCAAATTAGAACCCGGGAATGCTCCCCGCATTTCATCTCAAGCCTCCGAAACAAGAAGGAAAAGGGAAGAAACACAGAGTCTGGCTTCCATTTTGCATGTTTGACAGGCAATGGGGATTTTTTGTGCGTTCTTTCTTCTCTTCTTCTCCACCCCTCCCGCCCCATCAAACACCTCTTTAGAAATCTGGCTTTTCTGGTGCAGGAATGGGAGTGTCAGGAGAATGGAAAGTTTGCTGCAGGACTGACACTGTTTCCTGTTGCTAAGTTCGACAGAAACAAAATAACAACTGCACTATATTAAGGCTGCTTGAAAAAAAAAAAAAAAAAGAAAGAAAATGGGTGGAAGGCTTATAAATAGAGCTTAATTCACACATGTAGGTTGAGCAGGGAGTGGAGCAGTGAAAGCAGGCGTGAAAGGCGCTTCTCCTGCCCCGTCCTGCCTCTGCTTTATTTAGTGCTGACTCTTTTGTAGCCAGAAGTCTTTCAGGTGCTCATTGCCTTCTCATTACCGGGCCATTTTGTGGTTAGTAAAAGTGGTTTTCTGGACGTGTTGCAAATAGAAACGCTGCTTGCAGCTGCAGGTATTCAACAGCCTTCCCCCTGCTTGCAGGAACTTGGGATAAGTTGCTGGGAAGTGTGTTAACCCTTGGATTGTGAGGGAGAGTTTTGCACCATGTTGTTTGCGAGGCGATGTGGACAGCTGTTTGTACACAGGGGCTGTTAAAAGCTATCGGCATCTAACAGGTGAAACTTTGTATATTGGAATCAGGCTGAATAACAAGAAGATAAAACATAATGGAAAAGAAGAGGGAAAATTCGTTCTTGTGTGTTGGTTTCTGGAAGCGTAGCATTGTCTGGGTTCTTGGTGCCAAGAAGCGTGCTCCAGTATTACAAGTATAAGATACACATGCTTTCCCTGCAGTCTGTTCAGAAGGCTTTGCTTGAGAGAGCTTCTTGTGCATGTCATGGAAAAGCTGCAGCTGAAAACTGTTTAGGAAAATAATGGTTTGTAGGGTTGTAAACATTGAAAAGGAAATAATGGAAAAATATTTTTTTTCCAATTAAAACGGGCTTTTAAAGTGTCTGTTTCTCCAGAATGTTTTCTCAGCGGCTGTATTTATTCAGCTATAGAAACTGTACCACGAATTTCCACGTTCCCTTTGTGCTGGATGGGAGGTGCAGTCAAACCCCAGCGCTCCTCACCGGGAGGCTCTGCTGGAGCTCAGGGGGGCTGGGAGCAGCTTGATGGGATCTATTAAAATCAGACTTTAGCATTTTGTACACTGAATGACTTCAGAACCTTAACTTTTAAGGGGAAAGCTGATTTGGCTTTTTGTATGCTGCGATATCAGAAGTAATTGGGAATTGGATCCTGGTGGCTGCAGTGGTATGAAAGTAAAGCGAGGTGGGATGAGATTTACCCCGCTGTCCTTTTCTTCTTGTGCTGCTCACTGAAATCAGTTTTAATTCATTCATCACTGAATCTTTGTCTTCATGCAGCTGCATGGATAATGTTGCACTTTGGGGTTCATCTGGGTTCCTTTTCCTTTGTCTGAGCCTGTGGCTGACAAACTGTAGCTGGAAGAGCACAAAAACACAATTAACTGGGGAATGGTTCTCTCTTGTATTGATTCCATTACACGGATCCTATTAACTTTAATGTTTCCTACCTTCACCACATGAGTTAGTTTTGAAATGAACATCTGTATTTTCAGAGGTTGCAGCTGACCAGATAAACACGTCCTTGCAAAATGTTTTTGTGCGGCACAAAGCTTGTTCTGCACTCCCAGATCTCTGCTCATCCAAGTACTGCTGTAATAGAGCAGCTTTCTGGGGAGAGCTTGCAATATTTCAGTCATGGTTTGGAAGAGTGAAATGTGTTTATAAAGCTTTCAGATGACATCAGGTTGGGAGGGGTTGCAAGCACTGGAGAGAGCAGGGTTAGAGTTCAAAGTGACCTTGAACAACCAGAGGGTAATCCAGATAAGAGATGAAGAAAGATACAAAGTGTGCAGAGAAGAAATCAAAGTACTCGCTTTACTAAGTCAGGATTGCTGGAGAGTGATGAATAGAAAATGACCAAGGATTTTTAGAGGGCTGCAAATGAAGTGTGGACTATCAGTGAGATGCTATTGCAAAAGAGACGGATCCTGTTTTGGGCTTCTGCAAAGAATGTCATCCTAAGACACAGGAGGTGACTTACTCATGTGCGGTGCTTTGCAGGCCTCATCATTGTCATCCAGTCCAGTTTTGTGTCTTGCTCCAGGGAAGACGCAGAGGTTCTGGAAAGTGTCCAGAAAGAAGATTGAGAAACGTGAGAAGAGTTTGAAAGAACTCACTTTGTTCGGTGTAACTAAAAGAAAACTGTTGTGCAATCTAACAGACTTCCAACGTGTAAGCTCCTTTCCATGGCAGCTTAATTTACTGATTTGCTAATTTGCCAAAATTATTGAGGCTAGATATTGGGAAAACTTCCTGTTATCATCGTGAAACTGTTGCAAGATCACGTAGGGAGGATAAAAACCTCTTCGGGAAGTGGTTATGGATAAGACAGATGACCTTCATTGAGGCAGAGCCCAGGTCCATTGTTGTCCTTTCGTTTTGATTTGTAGGACCTTAGGTTTTGTGGGAAATTTTATAATTTTTTCCCTTTCTTTCATGCAAGGGTCCTGTATGCTTCACCTGCATGCACTGGAGGTAGGAAGAGGGCAAGGGATGGACTGGGTGGCAAAGGACTTGTAGGTGACAGACTTGTGCAGTGGGGTAGGTATAAGGATGGACATTAAGCATGGTGGATCCCGAGGTCTGGCTTTCCCCTCGCTGTAGTCTTACTTATCCCTCATCCCTGGTGTCAGCAGAGAAGTGAGGACAATCATGGCCAAGGTGTTGTATGGGATCACCCCCTCTAGTAGCTGCTGCTCGGAGAGGAGGAGTGCTGGAGTCATGCAGTAGAGAGATGCTGAAAAATGGTGAAACTTGTCATTTAATTTCTGCAGATCTGCTTAGGATTTATTCACCAAAATTCAGGTTGCCTGTGCGCACTGAAGCCAATTTGCTTTGTGTGCATTTGTACGTCTGCCTATATTGATGCATCTGTCCATACCATGTGATGGTTTGCAGCTGCATGATTGCAAGCTCCTGTGTCCCAAAGGCTGTGCAGAACAGCACAGGAAGGCTCCCAACAGCACAGGAAGGCTCCCAACAGCATGGGGGAACTGCAGACCGAGTGACTGGAGTGCTGGAAACAAATCAAAGCAGAGTGCCATGGTGGAAAGTGCAGCTCTAACAATAGGCTGTGGCCTAGCCTGCCTCTTCAACATCACTTGTGTAATTCTCTCTTTGTAAATATTGTACTGTAACTAGAGTAAACATGGGGAGAAAAAAAACAAACACAAAACAACAGCAAACCAGCCAAAAAGGAGCCTGCCCAGAGCCTGGCATTAGTGCTAGGTGGTGACACAAATGCATTGGTCAGGGCTTTGGGCTGGCCATCTGCAGGGCCCTTTCTCACACCCACTGGCATCCTATGCGTGTCCCTGAGGGCTCAAGAGGGCTGGGAGGAATTTCTATCAGATGCTTACTCCTGTGTTTGTTCATTGCTTTGCAGAGTAGCCCACCTGGTGCTGTGGGCTGCTTCTGGTGGGACACTCTGTGCATTGCTGCATAAGCTGTTGACACTATAGCATGTGTTATGTAAAGTTAGGAAAAAAAAGCAATTCAAACAAGCCTGGGATTGCTGTTGGCCTTTACTATTGCTTGTGGTTTGAAATCTGCAGCGGGAAGGCTTTTGTGCAACTACAGTGGCTGTGATTTTGTCCTTTACTTAATTTCACTAAGAACTGCAGTTCTAATTCCTTTTTGTCCTGAGTTCTGCTAATCCTCAGCTCAGGGCAGCCCTTTCCAAGTTCAGGCACAGGATTCACGGATGGTAGTGAGAGAAGCAGGAAGGCAGACAAGTGAA